TATCCGGAGAGAGGGAGGCATTGATTGATGGTTTCGAACTTTTAAGCCAAGCACACTTCGATAGGGGATTGAATGCCGGATTCGAAGCTGTAAAGGAGTTATCCATACTAAAAGGACGCATCACAAAACACCTTTCTGTGCGTACTCACGAGGATTCTGCTGTTAATCACTTAATGTCTGAACTGCAGTCTGTTGAATCTGAAGTTATTCAAGCATTCACATCTCTCACAGTTGACTCCCCGGCATCATCAGTGTACGTTTTACCGTCCCGTTTAAATGCTAAGATTCACACACTACGAAATGAATTCGAGAGGTTACTATCATCGCAGAAGCTGTAATGTATTGATCTGTATTTATGTACATTTAATAAGTTTTTTTCTTTTAAAATTTTTACTTTTTATTTGAAGGGTGTGGTAAAAGTTTTAGTGTATTTTTGAGAACTCGATGCACCTCTTATGATGTTGATATCGTTTACCTTTGTGGTATCGTCAAATATCGCTTTTTTGTATTTCTATTGACGATTCATGTAGATCACACCTTTCAGAGTTGCCCTACATTAGTGAAGTGAGTGAAGGCCCACGCTATAGCGTTAGCTATATCACTGGCTACCTTGTGACTCTAAAGTGACTTAACGCCGGGGCATTCATGCCATCTTAGTAGTTTTGAGAAGTGTAGGCGCTAGAAATGATTAGCAACTAAAATCGCTTGCGACGATTTTGAAACTGATTTGACTATGGTTGAAAGAGCTTATCTTTAAGATCAAATACTGGCCATCCAATTTTGAGCCCTGGAACTTTCATAGAAAATTGGAAGTGAATAATTGACCGATAAGACTAAATACGCCTAAATCAAGCGGGTGCAGTTCTGAAGGTCGGTTAGGCCAAATGCGATGAAGATTTAAGGGCTATCTTTAGCACCAATTTTCAATGCTTCAAATGTCTACCTTAGTCTGATGATGCTATCCCTTGCTGAACGAATACTTATTGACTTGTGGCGAGCAGCAGGCGAGCTCAATTAGGAGTCGTGAGCGGACACGATTCAATCGAATTTTCGTGAATGCACTTCACGCAACTCTGCTCATTCAGGGATCGATGCTTAGCGAAGCTATATAAACGTTTTCGTTATCCTGTACATACAAGACGCTCCGCCACTGCTTTAATAAATTGTTGAGCTACTCGCCATCTGCATCTTTTTCCATTCTTCTTTCGGTCGGGCTGTGTCGACGTAGATTGTCGGCCCTGGTGTGGTTCCCAAAACTGCACCGGGGCCCGCTACAGACTTTCGCGCTGCCGCTACTAAATTAGTTCATTAGGACAAGCTAGTTCCTGGTGCCTTCGCTTACAATTCACTTGTTACAGTCTTATTCTCTGAAACATCGCGGAAAACACTGTCTTCTTTGCAGACCACTAGCTTGTTTGAGTTCTTTTATACTTTGAAAGACTGGTTGCTTAGTTGGACTGGTGGCGCTTGATGAAAACTTAAACTCAGATCCGATTTTAGTCTTATAATAAGGGAAACTCCAACTGCGCGTGAAATCATCTCCCTGAAAATGCACCGTTTGCTTCTACCCAGTTAGCATAGTAACGCCAGTACCGTACAAAAAGTCTAGTTTGTCACTTTCATCTTGCTAGACTCAGTATTTCGTTTGCGGTCTTTGTCGATGTGAAAATCACCACCATCGCCACCCACTTGGTTTCCTGTACATTTTCACACGGATGTGAAAAGTAGATTTAGGCAAACTAAATCATTTGGATGGCCGTGGTAGCCTACAACCAGCTGCTGCTCCTGGAAGGGCATGCACAAAATGCACGCTCAAAGTGTCCACTTCATAATTGCTGTCAGGATCCGCCTAATTACACGGGCTGGGGTTGTCGCTTGGTCTCGTCAATGACGTCCTGAACGGCCTTGGTCCATGTCGCCTCGTCTGTCAAATAGTAGTGTCTTGTGGGGGTCATCGACTTGTTGAATTCATATACAAGGGGAATGCCTGCAAAAGCATAACAAAAATACGTTCAGTGATGTCGCGTCGTGTACCCTGACTACCTGCAATCCTGAAAAGCAAGCAAAAGTGCTTCAGGAGATGAATGAGTGACTGACGTACTGTAGTTAGTAAGCTGCTTGTTACAAATCGGTTTCACTCAACATCGATCTTTTTCCCGTGTCTCGGGAACTTTGTGATTACCACAACTATGTTTATTAATTAAATCTCAAGTCGAATTGGGAATATTTTCCTAAACCAGAGTGGCAGTTTTCTGTTGCTGGTGCTTTACGAAATCCGATTTCGGAATTTCACAAAATGGCTTACAGTGGGGTACGTGGACATCAATCATTTTTTCGTCGGGGACACGATCGATGTGCTTGATAACGGCTCGAAGTGCACTTCCGTGGCCAATAATCAGGACCCGATTCCCTTCCTTTAAGAGCAGAAAACGAATAAAGTCACGACTGGCTCAATTGCGAAACTCAGGCTTAGTAGATACTGATTTGGAAAAGCTATTAAGGGAGTTCAATGTGGTATTTTTCTCCTTAGTAAGAACAAACCTTGATTGTCGGCACAATTTCATCATTCCACAACGGCATCAGTCGCTCGTATGCGTCCTCAAGGCTTTCGGTGTCAGGTACCATGGAGCTGTGAAGGTTCTACAAACACAATTTTACAGTTGTTTAGCAATCGATGACTGTGTGGTGACAGTAACAACTTCAGTGTGCGTCGAAATCATTGCGTAACTGTTTCAGTCTTATTTAAATAGATTGAAACAATGTGAGAAGCATGTTAGTTCATTGCATAAAAACCGAGGTCAACTCAAGGTCAGGACAAATATCCAAAACGTCTATTTTGAATTGAGGTCGGCCTTGTGTGAAAGCCAGATAAGTTTATAGTTGGTGGAAGATAGGTTAGAGACAAAAGCGCCCCTAATGAGGGTTATCTTATTCCTCGAAGATTTAATGTGCTATTTAGAATGGAAACCTAGTTGCAAGAAGGCCAAATCGGTGTTTATCAGGGCGAAGGTTTTTTAAGTAGCAGGGACTTAAAAATGCGTGGACGCATCCTTTGACATATCAAACATAATAAATCATGCAGTATTTAGTTTTTCAACCAAAATTACTCTTTTGGGGTGTGGTGTAGTATTAAATTAAATTGATTGGATCACATGCATAAGCGTGCGTGGATGGGGCAGTGGAACCATTTTGAAAAGTCCAGGATATTTAATTCTTGCAAGACGCCAGAACATTTTTAATGGATCAGCAGACAGAAGGCACATTTACCAGCCTTGAATGAATCTTGATCTTTGCTTCTTATCTCTTTATTTTTATCAAACGTAATTTGAGGGCCAAACGGAATGTGTCAATTTTAAAGTAAAGGGCTCATGATAAGTCAACATTTGAGCTTGTTGTGAATCGTATTTATTCGCATCCTTTAATCCGATCGCTTCGCCTACGATACAAGGCTCCCCTTCTCGCAGCATAGCGACAGCTGCGCAAATCCTCAACTCCCGCCTTCATTTGCACGTATATGTATCTTGGGTTAAACTCAAACCTAGGTCTCGATGTTAGCGCATGTATGACTCATACATCCGAGGTATAAATACACACGCACAAACCCCACACAAAAAAACCACGTCTTCGTCAAGTCCTCGAATAAACGTTTGACTCTCTGTCCTTCCACCGACTTCATCTTTGTCGGGTAACTCGTGATCTTAGGCATCCCAACAAGCTATTTGGATAATCTAGAGGCAGCAGTTAACTAAAATTGAAGTATTAAGCTCGGCGCCGCAATGAAAATGCTAAAATACTTAAATTTACCGCATATTTAGGGTCATGAATTGGATGATGCTTCTGATCTCGGCTAAGTGGTGGTGGCTTTCCATCGTATGCTCGTCTCCAAATTCGAACCTGTTCTTCACCGTACTGCAAAGCTAATCGGGATTTATTACATCCTTGAATCATGCCATACATGCGGCCGTTTAGTCTCCACGATCTATGTATAAACAGAGAATATGAATATATCACCAGTTGTGAGTTGCATCACTCAATATTACAAAGGAAGATGTGGTAAAATAATAGGAAAGAATACAAAACCATAATTACTGACACAATTAAAAGATTTAAAAAGACACGTAAAGACAACAAATTTAAGCAAAAAAATTGCTATTTACAAAATTTAAAGAACTTACTTGAACACAGGAATCCAAAGAATACCCATATTTTCCAAAATTAGATGACATGATTTAATTGCCCGCTTTAGAAGGCTTGTATAGGCAATATCAAACGTCACACCTAGTTTGTTGAGAAACTTTGCAACGTTGATAGCCTGACATTCACCTTTGTATGAAATATCAGGATCTGCCCAACCAGTAAACATATTTTCCTTTGAGAAGGCACTTTCTCCATGTCGAATAAGAACTAAGCGGTACATGGGTTGAACCCGATATTCCTCCATAAGAGCTAAAAAATAATCTGTTACACTTATTTTACCCATGTCGAGAGAGTTCAAGGCTTATATCAGTGAGAAAACTGAGACGGCCGTTTGAAATTGCGCGGTTTTGAGATTTCGTGATAAATTTTAATAATGAAAATGAAAAAGGAATGTGGCTAAGAGTCGCTAAAGAATATTAAATTTTAATCCCAACTCATTTAGATAATTCAACTAGTGAAAACAAACAGAGGTGTTACTAGCATTAAAAAAGACTTCGTGAAGAATTTGCAAAATTCATTTCAAGTAAAAACTTTTCCCAAAAATTTGTGTAGCCGCTTGTAAGGATTAAAAAAATTAACTTTGATAACGGTTTTTGAGGTATAGTTTATGGCCCCGAATTCCTCGAAAAAGTTCATTATGTGACATTTTAATCACACATACCATTGGACCAGATGTTGAAGGTAAGCTCTTGTAATAACTTGCAATTGATTTATGCTGTTCTTTTTACAAAAGAACATATTTCGAGTGTATTGCAAAGAAATATTAACATGTTTTAATCTGATTCACGGTTTGGTCTGGTTGAATTCCTGTATCACCATTTTGTAAGGGAGGAGTAAAGAATGTTCAGTATTTCATATTTTTATTAGCAGTTGCTTTGAAGTGACACCTTTAAGCCATCTTGAAGTCTGCTAGCTGCGGCTTTTTATTACACTTCGAGATCTGTTATCTATGTAGTCTTGGTTGCAAAAACCATTCTCAGTTTTACCTGAGCGTATTCTGAACACTACTTGAGGTAGATTACATAAAAGGGTTCATTTCGCATTGACGAGATGTAAGAGCAACTTAATTTAAGCAAATGTAGCTCCTTCTCTCCAGCTTGGATGCTTATTCAGGGCTATTTATTCGTTCATTTTTGAACCTTACACGTCATATAATGATTACATGTTTTCAAGTATAATGAGACCTAATGATGGCACCACAGGTTACAATTCAAACATATTTTTGTCCTAATATTCATGCAAGTGTTTTCAGGTAATCAACAGAATAATTAAGCAAAGGACTAGACATAAATTTTGACGACTTTACGAGCGTGCCTCCGCATTTCAACATCTCAATTTACAAATGAATGACTTGTGTTCATAAATCTTCACTAGAATGAATTTACAAATGTTGAAACTTTTCAAACCTTTCACCTGAACTATTTGCATTAATTTTTTTTGGAATCCAGAACTTGGACGATGTCCAGAACTGCCCCTGGAGCAATTTGTCGATTACCGAAAATTTTGCGTAAAAATATTTTATTCTTTGGTAACGAGAGTAGGCACAACCACTATTTTACGTATTTGGTATTATAAAACCAAAGGGTAATTATGTAAGACTTCGTGTACAATGGCCAATAATAAAAAAATTGTACCTTCGCCCTGTAGTTAGTGTGTGTGCGTGTGGCGGTCTTAGTTTATTCGAACATTTGCCATAGAGCCATCAATTTCCTTAACATACACATAGGTACAACAAGGAAATAAGACATTTTTAACTTTCAACAAATGCCAAGGAAACGCATTTTTCTTATACCCCACGACCTTGGGAACCTCATGCAAAAACACACAATTATATACGGACTAAGTAAAGGTTATCTTCTCGTGCATTGAAACTAAAAGCGCATTCATAGAATAGGTCTTATTATGTTTATCTAATCCGACATAAGACGAAAAATGGGATTGTGGTGATTGGTTTAAATCGTCGAGTTCAATATGAATTAAGAGCCATTAGTCTTTTACGTTTTTTATGAACAGTTGCCGCACTCTGTTGCTATTCCAAAAGACAATATTACCATTAATTAAATCAATTGCCTTATTTTCTTTTAAAAACCTTATAAAGAACTTATCTAGCAAAATTTTTTCTCGAAAATTAGAGGCGAATTTCGATCGCCAAAGTTTTGATTTCCCCGTAAAAATATGCTTTTTTACTGATTCTATTCAAGTACCACCTACTTTGTATTTGGTATAAGAAACAAGCAAAATTTGACAGCATTATGTGAAGTTTTTACTTCACGAGTATCCGGAATTAAAGAGGCACACATATAATTTCATAGAGTTCTTTCACATTCTGCAGACAACATGAAATTAACGTGTTTGGCTAGGAAGGCCTCTTCAACAAAGCAAATTCGCTTTCACCGATAGACCTGAATTTTGAAAGGAAAATGAGCATTTCAATGCTAGCAATGAAAATTAGTTGCTGCTAACACTGAAAGAGGTTGTCTTACATTAGTTCGGAAGTGCTTTTTCCATCATGTCATTCAGAACCGTCCAGACCAGCTGCTCTGCTAATGGCTGCCGCTACAGTCTTGTCGTCTGCCAAGTAGTAGTGGCGAATAGGCGCCATCTCTGAATTCAACTCATATATCAGAGGAATGCCTGCAGGATAAAGTTGAAGACCGTTTCTAAACGTGGTGGTGATTGCAAAGCAATACAAAGCAACCACGTCATTTAATCTGGGATTTCAATGTAACTGCTGTAGTTTTATATCCCGGTTGGCAAAATTGTGCAAATCGTAAGGCTAGTCAGTAACAAGCTGCTCACATTGAAAGAATACCCTGAGGGCACCTGGAACAATTCAAAAATTGCCGATGTTAACGTTAAGCGGATGCACACATAACTTGGTTCTGGTCTAAAAAACCTTCTCAGCAAAGGGGAACCAGCCACTCCATGAAATAATTTCTTTTACAGAATTTAAGTGATACGACCACACAAGACCTTAGGAAACCGTCAAAGATCACTGGAAATTGCAGGACCAAATTTTTCATTTAGACTTATTTTTTCTCACTGGAATGTGACTTTGTTTTAATCTACTAGCTGCAATGCATTTCCAAAATGTCTTGCTTTCTCGTAAAAAACGTTTTTAGAGACAAACCTGGTGGAACATGCAGTTCCATTATTTTTGAGTCCGAGATGTTATCAAGGTGTTTCATTAGTGCAAGAATACTGGTTTCGTGGGCGGTAATGAGAACTCGCTTTCCTTTCTAAAGGCAAATAACCAAGATTTATCGAAAATAAATAAATCACATTCTAATGACAGCGAGGCGTTAGCAGACAACAAAACCTTGCGAAGTATTGAGCCCAGTGACTTGATGCACAAGAAATACAGACAGTTGAATTTAACCAATTTTAAGTGCAAAAGTTGCTGCTTTTGAAACAACTCTTAACTTTTAAGCATCTTTCAAATCAGAACTCAGTGGAAACAGGATAATAAATAAATATGAAAAATGTAAACACTTACTTTAATTGATGGGACAATTTCATCATGCCAAAAAGGCAGAACCCTTTTGACGGTGTCTTTAAGACATTCTGTTTTTGGCAAAATATGTTTGTCCAAAAGCTGAAAAAGTTAAAATATAAAACTTTGATTGTGAAGTTACGAAGACATTAGTTCCTAAAATCGCACAAGATGCGTCAAAAAACGTCAAAAAATAAATGGTTTGACGATTCCTGTGTAATTAGAGCCAGCTGACTCAGACACTACTAATAAAAACATATACTTAAAGACGGCTAAAGTTGAGCTTAGATCGTCTAGGGCAGCTCACATTATATCGAGGATCATATTCAGGAGAAAGGGAGTCTGTCAAACCCAGAGCTGGAGGAGGAATGTCGTAGGATCTTCTCCACAACCTCACTTGAGTGTCTCCATGTGTGGATGCAGTTTCATCTTTTGTCAATCCCTGTAACGCACCGTACATGCGGCTGTTCAAACGCCAGGTCCTTCAGATTAAATCATTCAGAACATAGATATACATTGTGAGAAAATCAGGCACAAAAAATGACATATGATTTTGACTCGTAATGCAAGTCCTTCAACACAAACAATAAAAACTTCGCATAAGGTTACAAAACTCTGAACCGAATGAAAGCTCCTGCCCCTCAAAACGAATATCAAGGCTTTTCACTTGTTAAAGGTTTTACTAAATCTCACAAAAAACAACACACCAGTACTTCAATGTTAAGGAAATAAAAAAAGGGATTACTTACTTAACAACGGGGATCCAGAGAAGATGTAGTTCTTCCAAGGCTATGTAGCACGTTTTTATAGCACGTTTTAAGATACTTGTATACGCAATATCAAAGCAAAGCGATCGCTGTTTCATCATTTGACCCGCCTGCTTAGCCTCACATTCTCCTCTAGAAGAAAGGTCCGAGTCCATCCATCCGCAAAACCTATTTTCTTGGCGAAGCTCACTCTCACCATTACAAAGTATCGCTATTTTGTAGCATTTTGACTTTATTGAACTGTCTATAAAAATAAGGCTTATAAAAATCAGTCAAGTTACACATAATTTTCTATGAGGTAAAAAATAGCGATAACACCTATCGTCACAGAGAGATTTTATAAAGTTATTGGCTAGCTACATTCATTATAATTACCCGCTCTGCTTCATTGCTATAATTGCCATACATTTAAATAATGAGGTTGTTAGTCTAAAGGCTACATTTTCTAAGACAATGCATTATTCATTTATTTTCTTGGTATTGTGCTCTTTGCACAGGTTTTAGCAAAGGCTAAAGGATTTGGTTTAGTTATAAAATAAGCCACAATGCGTGAAATGCCTAAATATCACATCACGATGATAATACTGTTTAGATAATAAAAAACAAATATATGGTGTTAAGGTCCATTATTCGTCACTATAAATAAGAAACAGTCCGAATAATTCCCTTAAGTTCGATTAGGGTTATGCACACCCACACCAAGTTAATCTATCTACTGACCAAATGTCTTTTGAAGATTTCACGAAATTGCGCTTATAATCTTAAGAACTCTTGAACTGATGTGGGTAATTTATTGTCTTAGAATTGTTGGACGCCTCCGTAATGACACACTGGTGATTTTTTCCATCCACTAATAGATTTTCACCAATGCGAATAAAAGTGAAAATAGGTTACTGACGGGATTTAGAGTAAATATGGGACGCATGTTGCTACTCTTAGAACAAAACAGTTCAGAGACAGATTTAACACCTTCAAGACCCGGAAACAGTAACATATAGCAATTCAACTCGGTGCATACTGGGGAAAAAATAATCATTGGAGACTTAAAACCTGTCTATATTTAAGCGATCAGACCGTTCACCGCGGATGGTATCTGAAATCGAAGTCGAAATTTCACGAGCTATTTGTGAACCAAAATTGTAGGTTCTTATGAGCATTCGACTAAAGCCATAGACGAGGTCTATTTCTCTGAAGCGTAACGACAATTGCGAAGCAAATTCCATCCAACGATCCACACACAAAATAAAAGTAGGCAGCTGATCTTCCCCCCATTAAACTGTTTTTACTTAGAAAACCTCTGTTATGTGACACAACAAACTCAGCGTTAATTTGAAAACATGCACAAAGTCGAGTAAATGAGATAGGTTCGTTAGACAGCACGATTATCGTAGCGACAAAAAAAACATCACGGGATTTTCTCCCCTCCCACACCGCTGCAAGCCGGCAGAACTACCACTCTTTCAAATCCAAAAAGCTCACTCATGGTTTCACACTAAAAGTGACATCTTCCAATTACAAGAAGAGAAACAAATGGAGCAATATTGCCAAAATACACAAGGTGTTAGAATTAAATTTTGTACAATCATCAGGGAACGACACTGCTTAATAGCTGCTGCCACTAGAAGCAGTGGTGGCTTCGCCAAGTCTGACAAAAATATACAAAGATTCGCCAACTCAGCTGAGGGAGGCTTCAGTCGACGATATGCTGCAAAACGCCCTGCAAGATGAGGTTTTCGCAGTCATTGCGGAACATGAGGTGCTGGCTGCCTTTGGTGAGGTTGAGCACACCGCCACACTCCGTTTCGAACTCCCCGTAGTCCTTCAGGCAGCGCACCTCCAGCAGCAGGGACTTGGGGGGTCTCAGTGACTGGGTCAAATCAAGCCCGCCAGCACCGCCAGTTTCCTTGGAGTCGGCCTGCATGTAGGACGTCAACGAAGCGCAGTACTTGTTAAACCAGGAGAGCTCACTTTGGGAAAAATTCTTGCGAATTTCTGGAGGAGAGGTGAGGGGGAGAGCGAAAGATTCAGTAAACATTAATGGCTACTTGCAAATAAAAAGTAACAAAGTATATGTACAAATGAGTTAGTCACTGGCTGGGTAGACCTCCGTTACAACCTGAGTGAAAAATCAAAAAGCACCCTAGAAAAACGTCAAACAATCCGGAACTGTTGACACCAAAAATGCCCTTTGACGTGTCCACACACAAATGTAGCCATGATCTTGTTGTTTAGCTTATAAGTCCGAGGATGCGAACAAGAATAATAAGGGCGCTTGTACTGGGTGCACGAAACCCAAACTAACGTCGTATTTTTTTCAATTTTAGCAGCTAAGTGTGGGTAATATGTCACACTGACCTATACCCTACTGGTAACATTCCCCCAAAAATCACATGTCAGGTGGTTTAGCCAATTTTTCGATGTTAACAAAGGCAGCAGCGTTTAACGCTTGGTTTTAAATACATTTTACGTGTAGCCGTCAGAACCAAAAGCAAAATTTACGCGGATTTAACGTGATGATTAAAAATATACATTATGTTCCACTATTATTAAAAAAAATTGAGAACAAAAATGACAGTATGGAAATGAACAGTTAATAATTGAAAAGAATTTCAGTTATTGAAAATTACATACAAGACAATGCTTGAATGCTTTATGGAGCAACACCCTACTGTTAAGACTGACCGCAGCGCTACGAAACCCCACTGAAGAAATGCGTAACCCCGAGTCAAAGTTGTTAGAATCGGGAAGTGAGAGGAAAAATGTAAAAACTGACTACGCAAGAGAAGCAAAAGTAGTTACCTTTTGGTATGACCGCACCATACTGCCAGCGTATTTCCTTGAGTTGCATCAGGCGGCAGTGATGGTAGGCCAGGAGGCAGCGTTTAATGCGTTCCATTGTCGCATGACGGATAAGAACAGTCTGGATGAGATTTTCTCTTCCACCATCAAGGCTACTTTCGCCTGCAGAGTCGGAGCTTTGAGATGGCAGCCGAAGACTTGCAACGTCGTGCCTATTTTCCTCATAGAGAGTCCGCATTTCCTCCATGCAGCGACGAACCTTTTCCTCTTCATAGGGGGCAAGACTATGAGAGCTTCCACGCTTCAAACTCCTAATCAGGTCCAAACCAGTGTTGGCTGCTGTCATTTTAAGCTGATATGACAAAAATAGCAGATATATATATTCAGTATTTTCCAAACAGTATAACTAAAGACTAATATAGCAATCCATACGGCGACATTAGATAGTGAAATAAGAATCAGACTGTACAAAAAATTGTCCCACATCTAAAACGAGCTCAAAACGCTCCTCCCGTCCGCATGGTGGTGGGTGAAAAAATACAAATGCCTCCACCATAAACTGCGACGTAATACGAAAAAGAAAAACCTTTCCATAAAGCTAAAGGAATTTGAAATTCATGTAATAGTGAAAGGTCAACACACGAAATCGATACAAGGTATGCAAAAGCCCAGCAATAATATGCATAAAAACAAAAATACTGCATTAATTAGAAGCAAACCAACTTTCAAGCAGCTGGCCCCGAATGAGAGGACAGGCCAATACTAACAACTGATTAACTGATGATTGGTTGGCATAATTTACTGGGTTACAGCTTTTGCCGGTTATTCGTTTCGTTATTGGCTCACCCAGACCAAAGTTGTCCTTTTTAGCTTATCTTTGGAATACAAACTTGGCTTAACTTGTAGGTGATAAACACCCATAAAGTACTTATATATTTCTTGTTTATTACCTAGTCACGCTCTCTGAGTGGTTTGTAAGGCTAAACTTGTGTGACATTTATTAGACCCCAGGATTTATTTGTTTCTTCTCAACCCAAAAATCTGAATAATTTGTTGACATTGCCATGTATTATCTAAAGGATATACTTTTTCAAGGACCTGTTATTATTATTATGATTATGGGCTTTGTCATCTTTGCTGGAAGGGGTCGACGTTATTTAAATTTAAATACAGTTGCCTCTTTTCATCACGCTATTTTTATTGGTTAGTTGTATGCACTACTCATAAGCGTGCTGTCAGCAGTAGTTTCAGGTTAATGTATTACATCCAGATTTAGTCGATACTTGCTAATCTTCTGTTATTATTTTTGGGCCTGTTATCTCTTTCTATTCTACAAGTCATATTTATGGCCATCGTGTTGTCTTTGGATTGCAAACCACTGGAATTCACCTGCTTCCAACGTTGCTGTACTCACTTGCCTTATATTTATTGCACTTCAGCTGTCAATAGCGATTACTGATAACGGTCTTTTGTCAATGAACTTCGTCAGATGTGGTTGCTAAATTACCGTGTATTATCTTTCTCATTTCAGACGGTTGTTCACGCCGGTGCTATGTCACTTAACTATGCTTCAGCACTTTCCGCGTACGAAGACAAGGGTGTTTGTGGACTTCCCGAAATTCATGACCCGGATTACATTTTTGAGCAAAAGGTTACCGTGTTAACTGACCTTTTACGCCAATCGCCTTACACAGTGGTCCACACAGGAGCAGGTCTCAGCACTTCCTCTGGAATACCCGATTTCCGTGGCCCCAACGGTATGTTTGCCTTCTATTTGCGTCTAGCTTTCCTCCACCAGGTGTTTGGACCCTCGAAAAGCACGGCAAGTCTCCGAGTTTCAGTCAACCCTTTGATTCCGCCATTCCTTCGATCGGACATATGGCGCTGGTTGCGCTAGAGAAAGCCGGATACATCAACTACGTGATCACACAGAACATCGATGGACTGCATTTGCGCTCTGGATTTCCCCGGAACCGCCTCTCCATCCTGCACGGTGACGTCTTCCTGGAGAAATGCCGTTCGTGTGGAGCTGTTTACGTGCGGTCAGCTAAGACGTCTCCCACAATCGGCTTGAAGACCACCGGTGCCAGGTGCACCAAGTTAAAAACGCGCGTTCGTCCTTGCGGGTAGGAGCATCGACTCCTGTTTTCCTCATTTTAACGACTTTTAGTGGCAAATTAATCGACTCAGTGCTAGATTGGGAGGACGAATTACCCGAACCCGATTATGCCTTGGCTGTTAAGGAGGCTCGGTACGTAGGTTGTTTCCCTATCATTCGATCTTCTCATTTAAATCTTGTATGTGCATTGTCGCGGCCGCAAGAACAGGCTTCCTTGATTCTTTTACCTCTAGAACTGCAAGAGTACTGAAAGTTAACTTGTTACGAATCGCCACTGCAACTATCTTCATCCTATCAAAAACCGCTCGTGACGAGAACACACGGTTTTGCTTTCATGCATGAAAGCGGATTGGTGGTGTTTGTGGACCTTTTATGTCATGTTTCTCCCTTGTTTCTTGAGAACCCTCCTTGTGCACGCGTTGTTGTGCTTTGAAATAGACTTGACACTTATTGTCTATTGGCAAACAAAGTGACTTCGTCATGACTGTGGTTTGTTTACAAATCCACAAAATGTGTTTTTTTTTCCTGCCTATTATGAAGGAAATAGGTGACTTCGCTTTAGTAATCCAAGCGTGGTTATGATTTGTTAGTCATGTTTTGCAAAACTGTTACATTGTTTGCTTGGCACAAGCGGCGGATTATATTGGTCCTTTTACCCGTCTGTATGCCGAATAAGCAATTTTTACTAATTATTTTCGAAATGTCATCCTCGGAAATTATGGCGGTGTTATCTTTAGCTCCACTGCCACAGTTTAGCTTGCTAAAGCGCAGTGTTGGTTGTGTGTTTGTTGCGTAATAAGGTCCTCCAATCACAGGAGGCCAATATTAATTATGACATTGTCGACGCGATTTCGCCACGCTGAGCAATCCGTGACGTCGCCGTTTCCTATCGCATTGTTTCTGGTTCCCTCTTAATTCCCGTCTTCGTGGTTCCAGCCGAAATCGCTCCTCACCCACTCTCTGTTAGTGCGGCTTTGAAGACGTCCTGCCCGTCAGTAGACTCTCAGTTTGTCTTGCCAGCAGTTGCGTCTTCACGCCACTAATTGTGACTCCTCCTCCTCCTCCCGCAGTGACAAATTTCTGCTCTATTCTTGTCTTTCCACTCATGTGCGTGGGTGGGAAAGCCTAAGCCGTTGAAGGTCGCATGTGACGCCCAGATTTTGCTGCTGATTTGCACCCTCTTTTCAGCAACGCGTCCATCCATTTGTGCCTGGGCATCTCACCCCACATCCTCCCCACTGCGCGTCTCCCTTTTCGGACGTCCGGTCTCGGACTCCCACGAAAGCGTCTCCAGCCCATCTGCGTGGAGAACGCGATCATCGATTTAACCAATGGCAGTGCTGATGACGACGGAAGCCTCTTGTATGTTCTCGATGCTGTAAACTTGAATTCGCTAGCTCCTAACCCTCTAATTTCTTGTGCTCCTGCCTCACCGCGTTGTGGTCCCCGAAAAACACTTGGTCACGAAGTTCTAAAGGTCACCGTTTAGCTGAGAAGAGTGAAGGTCCAATGCCAAATGTTTCTGCACATCAGTGGCGGTTCTAGGCCTTATTGAAAGGCTTCTGTGTAGCATGGACAGGAAGTACGGGACTTGTCGTTGCTGTCTGTGGCATAGTTTGGCGAGTAGTGACCCCCGTATACATACGCACCCCCTCTCAGCCTCCTTCTCATCCTCCTCCTAGCCACGACATCCCAAGTCCCCAAGTAGATGACGTCTTTATGAAGTTCTTGGCACTCCACGGTGGAATCCTCGAAGGCAAGGGGAATTTCGAGGCATCGCGACGGCGATGCAAGCGCTTCAAACAAACTCCTCTCGCGAAATCCACCAAGCCAGAGGATGATGACTTCCCTTCTGTCGGAGGTAAAAACGACAAGCGGAAAGCTCAAAGGTGCGCACTGTGCCTTGATTCGTCGTTTTTGTCGTGTCTTATCCTCTCTCTCTCTGGTCATGAGTTTTGAAGGAGACTTCCCGACAATAAATAGGTCATCTGAGGTAATTTGTCAGAGTTCCAGGAATTCCTTATTTGCCCCTCTTCCCCTACTCCCGACGATTCTCGTTTTCACTCTCCTTGTTTTCACTTACTGGCCGACGCAAATTGTGCTTTCTCTCAAAACTCGTCATCTTTTTACACTCTTGTTGCAAATCCCATTCCAAATCACTATTGGCTTTTGTGATTATCAGTTTGTTCTTATTTTGATAACCCGAATCAACCCGGTGCCTGTCTAAACTGCCTTGCTCATTCATGAATTCAGTAATTTGCTAACAACCCTGGCAAAACATTTTGCGGAAAAGTGCTTTTGCAGACCAAGTTCACTAGTCGTTGTTGGCATGGGCTTTGCAGAAGGGGTCGTCTTCACGTGTGTTTGGGAACCTCCCTTCAAATCTTCCCTGCGGCCAGCCTGCCCTTCTCCACGAAGACCCCTCGAAGTGCGTCGGCGACCTCGCGCAAACGAAAACTCCGCTCCCAGACGGTCATTGACTTGACTGCCGACGGAGACGACGCCTCCACGTCCTCCCCCAAGGTGCCCCGTTCGAAGCCAGAAGTCAAGTCCGAGCCGGCAAGGCGTCATCGCAGCACGGAACCCTCCTCGAAGGTGGTAATCGTGAACCTCCAGCCAACCAAGCTTGACGCGCGAGCCGACATGTGTCTGCGTGCCGACATCAGTCGTGTTCTGACGCGCGTCTGCAAGAACCTCGGCGTTGAGATTCCCCCTGTCGATGCTACCTTCGTTCCGAAAGTTGTTCTTCGGTAAGCCGATCCTCTGAAGTGGTCCCGCCTTGTACGCGTCGTAGATGTCCTATGGCGTGGTCGTTTTTGTGCCCTGTAGATCAAAACACACGGCAGAATCAGAGCGCTTCCCTTGGATCATGCTCTCGCATCCCGAAAATAGCTTTTCTCCGTTCGCCGTTAAAGAAGATGAAGGCGGAGAATCGGACGAGCATGTGGTAAAGACGAAGAAGGAGGAGAAGCCAAACGTGGATGTGAAGAAACGTGACCTCGATTCCGCGACTCTCATTCACTGCTCTTCAAACAAGATCTCGCTGTAATTAGTACTCCAATTTTGGATTTTTTAACCTTACCGGTGTGGTTCACGCCCACAACCGCCTACCAACAATACACCAAATGATTGAATTTTGTTCATGAACTTTGGTTTTGCGCATTTCAGAATTGGTATTTTGCATTATAATCATCACCCGGTACTGCTGTGATCGGATAATCGTCCTGGGCGACTCCAATCAAATCGTTCCCCTTGCTCAAAAACATCCCATGCAGCTCCGTCTAAAGAAATCTGTGATGATCTAGTCTAAGAACGGACTGCCAGGTTGTCGGAGCAAAGCCTGTTCCTGTTTTCGCGTGATTTAGCTCATATAGGTGCTAAAGTGTCAATTTCGCTCCCCAATAGCTGGCCTAATCTTAGTGCTGCCCAATTGGTTGATGTAATTAGTAATATCTAGTGAGTCGTGTTACTATTGCGCCCATTACTTGCGTGAACACGATTTCAGCCACCTGGATAATTCTGTTTATCCCTGATACTGAAGTTGGGCGGTTGTAACAATGTTCCACCCTGATTTGTCCATCAGAAAAAAGGCGCAAGATTAACACATCGTAGTGTCGAAAAACGAATTTCTTTGGCTCTACAGTTGGCATTACAAACTGGAGTCCTGTAAAACTCGTACAGTCTGCTTTACACGAAGATGATTGGCTTCTGTAGCTACTCTTAACTGAGATTGGACCCCACCCACAATCACCTCTGTTCATCCACCACAATTAAGCATTTAGTCTAGCGAGGGAATAGCCCAGCCAAGTCGTATGTTTAACTATGGTCATTGTTGACGAATTCCACGTTCGGTGACGTCGGAGCAAGATGTCAACGTTACTGGTCGCATTGAAAGACGATGAAATTTAGACAATCCACGATTTCGACCGTCGTGATGCAAGTGTACCCTACATTCCACGAATCGATCCTGTCTGGAGCATCCAAATATTTGGAAATCACTATTGTGCTGCTTCCCGCTGTCTGCTATTCCTATCTTTATCCTGGACATCGAAGTGCTTCATAGGGTTTTCGCCGGGTAACCTATCGACCACCGTTCAATCTGTAGTAGTCGTGTCGTCGTCACTCGTCAAGCAACCTCAGGGCTCAAAATACCGACTCCTTCTGAAAACGCACCAAGTGCAAAGCCATCCGGTTCTTGTCAGGCGGAGCTTGCATGGACGTGATTTCCAGCCAATGGCATAAAGGTGTGGTTTTTCCCAATTTTGCGTGTGTGTGTTTAGCACCCAAGCCTCTAGCTTCAGCGACGTCTTGACACAGGCGGATCGATTAGTGAAAGTGTAATTTATTGTCGAACTGTAAAGTTATTACGTTTTTCCCGGTATTTTGATGCAAATCCCCGAGCTAATAGTTGGAAGCTGTGACCAAAGCGGAAGTCAAGGGGAATGTGGGATGCACCCAATAATATATATATATATATCTCGAAGCGACCTGAGATCGATGAGTTGAACAAATAACACCGAGTGATGAGTTGACGGTGAACAGCGATGTGGCCTGACAGCAGAGCTATAATCAAGTGAACAGAGCCGAGTGAATCGCCGTCACAAATCACTGTGTTAATTTACTTGGCTTGGGGAATGTTGGCATGCTCAACAAGAATCCACAGACACGGCATGGGGTCTGAGGCCCTTCGATGCAGAATTCAGTCGTGCCTGCGCGTGGGCGACCTCCCCATCGATGTCATCGCTATTTCTTCCTCCCCAAAGACAACCCGCTGATGGAATTTGAACAGAACTGGAAGCTTTGCTCTGTAATTCAGCCCAACCTGAAGCTGACTCACAATAAAAAATCACAATAGCCGAATAGTTGATATGGCAATTCAAGAGCGGTGCACACCCACTTGACTCTAGATAGTGCTGCAAACTCCAATATTCACGGTATCAAAACCAAATAGCAAACACCTACATGTTTTTATCTGTATCAAAATAGCGTAATTTTGTAAACGTGAAGCGAGAGCTGGTCCTGTAGTTCTTGCCAGTAGACATTAAGGCACGACAGGAGGTCCCAATCGATCCGGCACTGTGGAAGACACAATTTGGGCAGGTTTTCAGTTGACAGGTGTGGGAAAAATCTCTCCACCTCAACAGCACGTCCAAAGTCACGTATTGGCCTTTGGAGTGGCAGCACAGTTCCGGGGAGGATCTAAAATGAGTTGGCACACATGAACCTGAATCAACTAAACCGGTTCACATCGTCAGTCACCTTTTACCAACGATAAACACTGCGTTTTTTTACCCAGTTGCAGCTATGGCGCACAGATGAACCCTAGCATGAAGGGCACGACCTGTGTGAGCAAGCGTCGACAGCACCACTGGTGGGATTGGTTTTGGCGCGTAACCTACCGTAGTTCGGAAGGTAGTGTGCACCATTGTCACACAACATACTTTCATACTCGAAGGACGAAGAATTTGAACACACAGACAGGTACATCAGACGGACTACTGAGTGAAAAGCAATAAAATCTAACGTAATGTGCCGTTAAACTAAAAAAATTCCATGACTAGTCTAATTACATCGACGATAACCCTGAGTACGTATGAAAAATGAAGCGGTGAAGGTAGCATGACTCACCAATCGAATAACCGTTCTGACCGCCAAATGTACTTTCATACAGTCGAGAAAGTCGATCAATTCCGAGGCAGGGCGGCCAGCGAAATCCACTACTCGTGTGCACTGTGCATCGAATGGTGCGATTTTCTGACACACCAGTGGCACGTGGCTTTCCGGTGACCGGGGAGCGCCAAAGGGGAAGCGCGGTGGCATGTAGGTCTTGTAGAAGATGTTCAAGTCGACATCCCACGCATCCGAGGGTGGAAGAGAACGCATAAAAGGCAGCAAACCACCCTGATGCACAAACCCCCACAATCCCCACAAAACCGCCTGATATGCGACCCAAAGCACCACCAGGCATTTGATATGCTTCACTCGGGGTGCGGCTAATACAACGGCGAAAGGGACGCTGGGCAACAGAAAGCGGGTTTCCTTGTGGCCAATAAGTGAGAGGGTTACTGTCGGGAGGACAACGCTAATCCACGTTGTGTGAATGAGGGAATTTTTGGCAGTGAATTTACTATTCGGTGGGAGAAACGCAGCCACCGCAAGCACGGGTGTCAGAATAAGGGGCCAATGCAAAAGGACGTAGTGATACCACGGATGAAGACCGTGTTCTCCAAGTGTTGCATCGGCAGAATTGTAGCTCAGAAAGAGACGAGGCGTGAGTATCAGATCCGATAACGATAAGGGCACTTTCCCCGTGTAGTACAGTGTGTCGAGATATGCCAACAAGGTGCCTGTCATTAAGACGGTTAGGAATCCAGTTAGGACGACAATGAGACCACGGAATGTTCGAGGTATTTTTAAAAGCTGCCTTATAGCAAAGGGTAGTACAAAAATGGGGAATGTAGGTCGCAAGAAGATAGCCCAGGTAGCAAGTGCGGCCTGAAGGACGATAAAAAAGACTCCTGTTTGCAGAGAAAGGTAGCAAAAGACACACACTGCGATAGTCTCCCACACGTTGCTCAGAGTTCGAGTGTTCAATACGAGGCCACCATAGGCCATTGAAGAGTAGATTAGGAGACTGATGGGCAACTGGTTCCGTTTACATCGTAGTTTGGAGCTGAGATGAAACACGAACGCGTCGAGTATGAAAGAGAGTAAGGCAGACACGAGGCGAGGAGGTAGAAGCACTCGTTTAACTACATTATCACCGGAAAGGGGAGTTGGTGCCTGGGGAGGAAACAGGCTGTCTACGATTTGGATTGGCAAATGGACAAACGGCCAAATACTGGAACGCGATCGCACAGGTCCGTGTCCCCTGGCTTCGAATTCCCATGTGCGAAGACTGCAAGAGTTTGTGTACAAATCGTCCACAGCCAACTCGACGGACTGGAAAAACTCATCCGGATGGATGTATCCGGGGTTGAGAAATACAACAGAGGAGAAGCGTATAGAAACAAGAAGAGCATACAGGGCCCAATACAGATGCGAGTAGGTGAGAAGGGTAGTTTTCTGATGACATTTTGAAGCAACCTAAAAGGTAATGATTCGTGTGCAGTCAGAATAACTCAGTCTATCTTCCTAATTGTGGGAAAAACGTCGGCAATAACTCGATCAAACATCTCCATGACACCAGAATATTACAGCGTATATAAGGAAAGTAGCCGCAATAGCAAAGAGTATAGACGAAACGGTTCCACAAACACTCGCACGCCGCAATAACCAAAGGCATCACTAACTAAATGGTTTACATTCGCCAGCTAATTCCCCTCAGTGCCACTGTCAACACACGAGGAGGTTAAAACATCCTTTTTATAATCGACACTTTACAAACATAAAATGAAAACGTCAACATACCAGGTAGCCAATCGGCATAAGACCCCGAACAGGAGGTACCCAGGAAATAAGCCGCAAATTCACTCACCACATAGGCATTTACGGTCCCCAGAAGGGCCTCAGACACGGCAACACACGATCACCTAGCGGTGAACATCAATGAAGACCATCCAAACAAAACGACGCCTAAATAACTACCCTTCACAACGACACACTACCACCTGCATCATAACAACTCCGAACACGCATCAACACTCTCCACTTTTGTGAAGTCCTCAACTACGCGGTGCTCAATGAAATTCAAACCAACCACCAACCACACCCACTTTTCACTCTCCTCAACAGCGTCTGCAGGTACGACAGTTCGAAGTGTGACCAGACAGACGTGGATTTGGCTTCTGACACGGCAACCTCCACACAGGTGAGTGCGCCACAAAGCAGTGCTGTGCGCCTGACGCACGACTCTGGTTTGTGCCTCAACGCAACCCTCCCACAACCACACTCCACTTACCAGTCACAATCTCGCCACTACACAAGGCGTATTCGCAGAGGCAAATCACCTCTGCAAAATGTCAAGTTGCTCAAAGGCGTCCACACAAGCGCGACGTTCTTTAAAAACCCCTTGGGCTCGATATAAACGGCGATGTCGACTTAGTAAAGAGAAACGACCCAATCTTCCAAGAAAAGCTGACACGCAGCTTTAGGTGTAACGTACCCATACCACGATTGCATCAACTATTTAGGATATGGAGATGCTGTGGTAATGTATGATGCAAGTAACTTACGGGCAAAGTTTAAGGTAAAAATTACTTAATTTAGTTTAATTAAGTATCATTCACACCCATACGCCTATAACACAATACCCACGTAACAGAAATCCACGAGGTCAAATAAGTAACACATTGAACACTTGCTCCCTAATATAGACTGATTAGGATAAAATGTAACGCGTTAATAGAAATGGAAATGGTTCAGCGTCAACTATGCGTTTATGGCATACAAGTGTAAAAATTACGGAACTGTTCACGTCAAAACAACTATTAGTATCCTAGTTGGGCAATTGTTTTCAGTACAATGCTGGCAAATGGAAAAAAAGATTTTTATACGAAGAGCAGGAAATATAAGAGTGGGACATCAAAAGTAATGCTATAATACAAATTACAATTAGATTTAACGGCACATGGCTTACTTCTGTAGGACCGGCAATGGCCGCAGCCATATTAGAACACGGTAAAATATTACGTAATTGTCTATGTGCGTTCTAACAGGCAATGAGTAATAATCAGCTAAACAGAGACAAGGTTGGATGAACCTCATGTAGATAATGGAAAGTTGGAGGCATGGCTACGCGGCAAGATTTATGGCATGCTAAGAAATATTCTAGTGATGGTCATTGAGCAGCCATTATTTAACATTGCAGGTCTTTAGTGGTTTTGGCAGTTAAAGTAGCGATTCTTTGACCGATATATCTAAAACACCAAAATTCGGATAATTTTGTTACGTTTTTTAACGACACGATCACAGTTTCTCAAGCAAATTTAATTCCAGCATAATTTTTTGACTGGAGATTTCGTACCCAATTAAGGACAGTTTTATCATCACTTACCTTAGACGCCATAATATTCCGTATTTCGTTTGAAGAGTTACTTTTTAAATGAAAAAGATTTTATATTTTGTTTGTTATAAACAACATCGGTTTTTTGAGATCCCTAATTGGTGTGGATTTGCAGTTGGTCAGAATGAACAATCCAGGTTGTGAAAGCCATTGTGGTATCATGCAAATAGGCAAATTAACCAATGAGTGGCACACGTATGAAGTTGATTAAACGAAGCTGCATTTAAGAATCTACTGCATTAGGCAAATTTAAAGGGCTAAAATAATTATTATATTACATAAAACGTAAATGTATATATGTCTTCATCTTTAGAAAACTCAGATTGCCAGATAAACTTTAGAAGCAATTTACCTTAAAAATAGGAAAGAAATTAAAACTGTAAAGGATGCCAATAATACCATAAGTTGATTATATCGGCTTAAGATGCTTACCATTTAACATTAGCGGTTTAAGTCCTAGAATTTCCCTTACTGTTGTGCTTTCAAAAGTGACTCAAAAATTAGTTTATTTATTTATAGAGTCACTGAATCGCTATTGCGCTTTCTTGCATTAACTATCCGTAAACTACAATATTTCTTCCTGTGTTAACTCAGACTATAATGATCGATCAGTAAAATTCATAATTTATGTCAGACTTTCATACATCGTTGTAAAATGTTCGAGAAATGCTTCGTAGGTACAAGTCTGTAAGGTATAAAAGACCTACAGAAATAAAAATTAGCTTTGCTGAAGCAAAATTGACTGTATCTAAGTCAAATTTGCATGTTGTAATTTTTTCTTTCGTCCCAGTGTTTTGCTAAAATGAGTAAAAAGACGTAAGTATTCTCACGATTTATTAATTAAGCCTCTGTTGAGACGCCATCAACCACCAACTACCCAATAAGGATGAGGTCTGTGGAAGGACAGAAATTCAACCGTTTATTCAAGAACTTGACGAAGCCGCGGTGCCGTGTGGGGTTTGCGCATGTGTATTTATAACTCAGGTGCGTGAGTCATAACTGCGTTAACATCGAGACCTAGGGGTATATATAATCCAAGATAAATATCCGTGTGAATGAGGGCAGAGATGAGGATCCGCGCGGCTGGCGACATGGTGCGAAAAGGGAAACCCTATGTCGGAGGTGGAGCAACCGGATTAAGGGGTGTGTATAAACACGAATCACAACACCTCTTTATTGCTTTTATTGCACAACAATCATAGCCTCTTAACGAACTTAGCAGTTTTACCTTATTTATATCTGCAAGCAACTTTTGGGTTAAGGTCTGGAGATTAGAGTCACTGAATGAACAAATAATTGATTTATCTGCTAAGTCTTGTTTATGTCCTATGTTGATTAAAATCGGGGGATTGCATTCGACCATTAATTTTTTGCTTATGTTTTTCAAAGCTATGTTTTTTCTACTGAGAGAAACGGAAAAGTAGTTTTCAAAAATTTACTTTGTTTTTTGATTCAATTTATAAACAAAGCAGATTATGGACATGAAATATTAAAAAAATTAGATATTAGAAGGAGTTTGCAATTGAATCCTAAATCAAAAGGGTTTGGTTTTACTTAAAAACAGTACATGTGTGCAATAAATTCCAACTGTCATGGTCACTGATAAAGAAACTATAGTAATTTGCTGACGCTCTCTGAAAATCCTGTTTGTTAATAGCATGAGGACAGAGACATGGGAGGCGTCAATAAAAATGGCCGGATTTTTGCTTTAGGTTAGGAAAATTAGCGACAACTACTTTAAACTGGGTCTGTTATTTGATTCAATAGATCTCCAAGCAAACTGTAATCCATTACAGAAGCGTAGGTTGTGATTTATTTTTACTCACATAGCCACGCATTTGTTAAAAGGTGAAAAATTTCAAAAGTTTGACCTCAGTGTCTGGTCACAGTTTAAAAATTCTTTTATCGCATTACTTTTGCAACCCAACATTTAACGAATCGTATATTATTATTAGTATTATTTTAGGAATATTTCCGGAAGCAATTGACTAATGGTTTAAAATCGACGAAATTGTATTACGGAGTGATCAAGTTATTAATGGCAGGGACTAGTATTCAAGCCACCATCGAAATACCTTTAATCAATATAATCTAAAAGGTATAGATTATCAAGACATAACGTTTTGAGGTCGTGTTTCGGTTTGCAAATTACAGTTGGAGATACAGTGTTACGATTTTTGGCAATTTTACGTCAGTTTATCAAAATCCTTTCTTTAATACCTATCTTGGCATAACATGTGCAAAATAACAGTACATAAAAAGTAAGCCCTAGCAAAAAATGGTAAAGCTGAATAAAATTAAAATGGATAATTTCTTGAGGCTGCTATTAGTGGGAATTGAACCAATAAAATTCACAGAATTAATTAGGATACTATTTGCAAATTAGCGAATACGATATTTTGGTAACTTGTGTTGATTTACTGTAAGGTTTATATATTTCACCATTGCAACGCAACTTCAGACAAATTTAACTATTTTAACAAATAGGTCTATCAGAACAAAACAAACTCAGTTAACTTTATTTTTGAGTGAGTGACCGAAACCTATCTGTTTTGAAATTAAACTGCATATTCAAAGCCACAGAAGTACATATGCAAAAAGTCGTTTGCTGTATTTTCTTTAGGACTTAAAGATAATAGTCAGTTAGAATAATGTGTTGTGTGCTACATTAGTTAGAAGTCGAAGTACTGTGCTCTCTTTATAAATGCCTAAACAGTTTGATTATGAAACAGTACTTTATTGAGTTTAATTTACCCCAACAGTTTTCTTTAACTTCGATAATGTGAACAAAACCATTAAGGTTTGATTTCATAAAAGGAATTTTCGCAATCACTCTTATGAAATTAAAATGTTTTGAATTCGCATTGTTAGCAAAATTAAAATTGCATAATTAATTTTTGGTGGAAATGGCCTTCACAATCCTAAATCGTTTTCCTTTTTGGAAGTTGCATTTTCGGACAAATTGCAATTAAGAAATCGACTAAAATTGCATTCATTATTCGTTAGTGTATAAGTTAATGAAAATTCATTGAATAAACACCATGGACAATTGTAAATAATGTGTACGAGACACATGTTTAAATTCATTACCGCATTAATGAAAGCGTCGTCTTCGGCGACCTTAACAAGGATTGTCATGCCTGTTGTTTTTCCGTAGGTTTGTGAGCCTGCCAAACGATTATATCACGTCAGGTAATGCATTGATTATTTTTTTTGTGCATTGCTGTTTGTAAGCACTATGCATTATGTGGAAAACTGCATTAGGCTTCTAGTCAGACCCAAGTATTTTTTCTCAATGCAATTTGGTTTTTTTAATTGCCTAATGTAGAGCCAGTTAAGGCCAAGCAACCATATAAAAATTGAAAAAAGTAATGCAATATGCTTTTAAAGTAATTTTGCTAATTTAAGTGTACCTAGTACATGTGAGTCTGTTTGTTGCTTTTTTATAGACAAGTGCGGTCAGATGCGCAATTAGCCCTGTCTTACTTCTTGGGGAATTAAAACATCCAAAGCATACTAGTGTTGATGTAAAACGTACACTGAACGTAACAAGTATAATAAAATGTAATGCACCAAGTGGTTTATCTGTTTATACTTTCACGTGTGAAATTACAATGCATATTTTAGCGTTATACGAATAAATGATCATTTATTGTATTTTATTCCTGATCTACACATTAAATATGGGGACAATCTACCGTAACATGTGCAATATCAGTACCTTAAGATGTTCCTTTAGTAAAATATTTGTGGGTGTTGGTCCTGCAAATGTTTAACATGAAGCTTCACTGTATTTAGTTTACTAGATAAGAATCACCAGCCTCTTAATTGCGGCAGCCCAATGGCCCAGAATGAAGAGTCTATAAAGTCTTTGACGAAGTCTCCTAACTCCCATTTGCCTTGTGTCACTTGTCCCGACAACTCGATTTCCTCTTTTGATCTACTAAATTCCTACCGCTCCTCGGGCAATAACCAAGCTGTCGTTTCAGCTGCCGCTGCTGCCATTATTCTTCAAGCTGCAGCCGATAGTCAGAACCCCCGTAAGTCGATGACCCTGCCAAGTGTTAGTCCGTTATCAACATCTGGCATTAAACAGCGTTGTTCTTCTCCGTCTGATGGAGAGAACACTGCTTCTGCCGCTGCCTCTCTCATGTCACGGCCCCGTCAACACTCGCCGACAACCAGTTCAAAGATTCAGGCCGCTCTTGTAATGGCTATGGCTGCATCTTCTCCACCATCAACCTGTCCTAGTTCCTCCTCTTCTGGCCACCAAGGCGAACATGGAACCAATGATTTTCGCTCCGATGCTCAGCCTCCTCTTGGAGCCTTTTTTCGCCCTCCACCGCCAACAGCTTATGAGACAGTAGATGGCGGAGGTAATGGACCCGGTGATGGAGGCTTCCAACCTCCCGGGTCTGGAAATTTGCCGCCGTTTGTTCCATTCACAAGTAGCTCTGCAGCTTCACCCGACATGTCGGCCTCAGCTTGCCTCACCAATGCCATGCTTCTCCCTGCAAGCATTGTTAATGTTCTTGGACAACAAGTGAGCATCCTCTTTGGTGAATTAGTATCTGAAATTATGGTGGCGTTAAATTTAGTTTCCTTATTCTGTCCTGTATAAACGGGGTGCTCCTGTTCTTTGGAATTCACTATCGTTTTTAATGCGGTTTTTTTCGATCTGTAACTATCGTAAAAGGTCAATTCCAAAACCCACCACATTGTAATTATATCGATGCGGTAGATGGTGGTATTTCGGGTTTTTACTTGATTTTTCTCATTCAAAACGTCAGTGTATTCTCTTTGAATTTAACGTATGGTAACAGCTCCTAAATCCGTAGCTTGCTAATTAGTCGTAGACGAAAATACGTAACCAAGCAACCATTACCGTTTGTAGATTCCCGATTCATAAATAAATTTTATGGAAAATATACTTTCCTCTAATTCTTGGTCATCTCGATTCGAGGAATGTGGACTCACCGCTGACGTCAATTATCTAATTACTCCACTCTACCAATGAATCAATCGCGTAGTTTAGCGTTGTATCCGCTCTCGCTATTGGATATACTAAACGCCACATAATCACGCCTGATTTTATAACGACACAGTAATCTGCTACGCTATCAACTCAGGTGCGCTTGTAGGTAAATCAGTCTAATTGAACTAATCTCATGCTTAATGTGTACTCGTTCTGGCACGTCAAAATTTAATTCCTAGTGTAATCGTCCAGCGTTTATGCCGATTTAATGATTAAAATAACTTTTTCTGTCTAGCGTAGTAGGCGGTGTACGTGTGTTTGTCTAACTTATTGAACAGACTACCCAAAAAGTAACTGTTTCGAATGATTATGTCTACACCAAAGTTGTTAAAATGTTTTTGTTGTGTCTGTGTGTGTTTGAAACACCGTGGTCTTTCTATTTCGTCACTCGATAGCCTGTGAGCGCTTGCCAGCTTGCCACCAACCAACCAATCTTAGTTGGCATCCTCGCCAATCCAGTGATTCATCTGCCCCCAGGTCTCTCCTCCTCACGCTTCATTTGCCCCCTTTAGATGCAAAGCAATCAATACCATCAACCGCAGTCCCCGGCCTACCTCTCGACGATCGGCAGCAACTCGGCCGGTGGCGGGTTCCCCCACCAGCCGCAGACGCCCGGAGGCGCGCCGCCGGGGCTCGGTGGTGCCGACGCGCAGGCTGCCGCCGCCGCCGCGGTGTTCCAGTCCGTGGCAGGCGGCATCCCCGCCACTTCGCCCTCCAACACCGACGCCTCCCGCTACAGCGCGCCCTGTCGCAGTGGCTCCACTGCCCTGCACGAGGACAGCAACAACAAACGGGAACAACGCCTCCTAAAGAATCGGTGAGTTTCGGACTCCGCTGGAGTTGTCATTCTTTGCTTCTGCCCAGTCTCCTCCAGTTATCGTCGAGTCGTCACTTCTCTCTGTCATGTTTGGCGATGCATAAAGTCGATTTGTGTCATCGAATGTAATACTTGGGTTCAAGTTGTTATGTGGATTGTTATGGATTGCTAGCGGCTTGCCTACTCTGCGGTGTTGAGACCGTGGTTCATCCTGGGAGTCTTCATAAGAGTCGGCTTGGATTTCATGGAATTTTGTTCAGTCATTTTCAAACCTCCGGCCTACATATTTACTCTAACATTATTCCTAAATTCCTTATTCTAGCCTGTGATTCGGGTTAAAGGCCACTATTTTGTCGTATCCATTGACCCGAGAACAATAAGTTGTATAGACCTCGAATCATTGATTAGACAAAAAAGTTTTCGTGATTTAGAAATTCATTACATGCCTCCCTACTATGTCCAACTTAAAGAGTGTTTTCGTTTTTCGTATCTGGTGTTTTCTGTTCGGTCACTCAAGTAACATCCGATTAAACCAATGTATCTTAGTCCAGAATTTACGCACAAGGACGGCTATTTCATGCTGAGAAAATCCCTTTCTTAACAGGAATAGGACGTAGTCGATATGTGAGGATAAAAGCGAGTGACCTCGCTCTCCTTTCTTAAATCGACATCAGCGTTTTTAAAGAGCGCCGCGTTTGTGTGGACGCGTTTGAGCAACTTAACGTTTTGCAGAGGTGGAACGTAAAGAAACAC